CTCGTTTTACCAACTTCGGAAGGATGGAAGGCTGAGTCGACCTTGAGATGGTCAGGATCGAACTGCTGACAGTGAACAGTGAGTTAGCCTGCAATGCTGCATTCTAATCACTGTGCACCATGGATGGATGGATGGATGGGAAGGGAAGGGAAGGGAAGGGAGGGAGGGACGAAGGAAGGAAGGAAGGAAGGAAGGAAGGAAGGAAGGAAGGAAGGAAGGAAGGAAGGAAGGAAGGAAGGAAGATAGCAATAGCAATACCCCTTAGACTTGTATACCGCTTCTCAGAACTTTACAGCCCCCTCTAAGTGGTTTTACAGAGTGCCCCCCAACAATCTGGCTCCTCATTTTACCCACCTCGGAAGGATGGAAGGCTGTGTCGACCTTGAGATGGTCAGGATCGAACTCCCGGCTGTGGGCAGAATTAGCCTGCCATACTGCATTCTAACCACTAGGCCACCACAGCTCTTATAGGGGCCAGTTATCATTTTCATGGCATGTTTTGTCACAGGACGTGGCCCGTTTTTGCTCTTCCTCCCGGGCAGATTCTAATCGGGGCTCTCAGCTCCTGGGCGTCTACGAGAGGAAGCGTTTGGCTGTTGTGGCCAGAACGTTTTTCCCATCTGGTGACAACACATTGTGAATGTGTCCTTTTCTGGTTTTGAGGTTGGTCATTGAAGGGGATGCTGTTTCACATTGGCGGGGAGTGTCTCTACACTTCACTTAAGAGGACATCATAACAGAAGAATTGGAAGGGACCTTGGAGGTCTTCTAGTCCAACCCTCCCTGCTCAAGCAGGAGATCCTATACTAGTCCAGACAAATGGTTGTCCAATCTCTTCTTGAAGGCCTCCAGTGATGGAGCATCTACAACTTCTGGAGACAAGCCTTTCTGCTGATGGACAAGGACTTTCTCACTGTCTGGAAATGTCTCCTTATTTATTCATTGGATTAGTTGGTTTCCACCCATCCTGTATTTCAGGAGGTCCAGGGGTTTCCTTCTGCTATTTTTTCCCCCCGTTGAATGACAACCCTATGAATGGGGGAAGAACTCACCCCAAGTTCCCCAGGAATCTTTTGTGGTTGAGGATGGTTGGAACTTGGGTTTCTCCATCCTTGTCCACCTTCACCAACACCTCACACTGGTTCTTGGGCTGAGACGGGAACTACCCTGTTTCCCCGAAAATACGACCTACCCTGAAAGTAAGTCCTAGCTTGATTTTTACATGTGCGCCCAATATAAGCCCTACCCCCCAAATAAGCCCTAATTAAGATCCTGCCCACTCCACAGATAAAAATTAAGCTAGGCTGAGGATGAGGAGGTGGAGCTGCCCTACTACTTACCTTTGGACAGTTGTAGCCAGGCCTTGTACACCTTGACACCTGCCTTGCCGGCCCATTTCTTCTGCAACTGGCAAGGCTTTCCTGAAGGCCTCTGGAGCTAATAACAAAGTTCTGGATCGATCCAGAGCTCTGTGGTTGGCTGCAGAGACCTTCAGGAAGCCTTGCCAGCCGCAGAAGAAGTAGTTCCTGAAAGCCTTTGATGACGAAAAGGAGGCTGGGGGCGATGCACACAAGTGCATCAGTCAGTGGGTGTCCCCCCCCCCCGAAAATAAGACCTGGTGCCTTTTTGGGTGGCAAAAACAATCATCAGACAGGGTCTTATTTTGGGGGAAACACAGTATCTCCCATCATTATCCAGAGAACTTCCATGCTCGAAGGAGAACCAGAACCTGGGTCTTCTCCTGGTCCAGCACCTTCTCTTACTGGACCACCTGGCTCTTGCCTTCAAAATAAGGGACTGACCCAAAGTTCTCCCCCTATAGGGTTGACCAACTGGATCCTCCTTTCCTAGTCCAGCCCCTTCATCCCTGGAGTATTGAACCTCTTGGGATGAAAGGGAGAAACTATTTGAAGTCCCCCCAGGAAGACTTTAGATTGGACGGTGGACCAGAACCTCAATCCCTTCATTCTTAGTTCAGCGGCTTCACCGCTGAACCATTCTGCCTCCTGGGCCGAGAAGGAGGAACTGGCCCCGTATCTCCCTGGGAAATTATATGGCAGTGGTCCCCAACCTTTGTGGCTTGGCAGCTCAGCTAGGATGGTGAGGAGAGAAGGAACTGAGCCGTGTGAGTGGTAGGCTAGCACATGCATGCGCAAGCAGCCCTTGCATGACCAGTGGGCCGGCCCACACGCAAACGCCTGCCACTCGTGCAAGTTGAGCTATGTGCATGTATGCACATGTTCTGGCCAGCCACTTGTGGCCCAATTCCGAATAGGCCATGGCACAGTTGGGAACCCCTGTTTTATGGTGAAAGGAGGGGGGTCCAGAACCTTGGGTCTCCCCATTCCTAATCCAGAACCTTCCACCATGGACCATCCTGGCTTTGGGGCTGAGAGAAAGGGACTGGCTCAAAGCATTGGAGAGAACCAACTTCTGGATCTAATGGTGGACTTGAAAATTATTCCTCATCCGGTACTTTCACCACTACACCCCACTGCTTGTTTTTTGTAACTCATACTGAAAGAATTACTAACCCATATACTCTACTGTTAGGTTTATTAATGATTGCTCAAAATCAAGGTTTTGAATTTTTCACCCTTCTCTTCTGCCCAATCTATCTATTGCTCTGGTACTGTCTACCCATCCATTTTGGGGTCTTTGGTTATCTGTAAGATTAAACTCATGAACATCTGGTTAGCATAGAAAGTGTCATTTTAGACTGACCTTTTGAGCTTCCTGGATTCGTTACTAGGGTTTGCCCATCGTACTAAACCACAATGTAAAGAATTGGATAGGAATCAAACACTGTAAACATGGTTTGCAAGCTATAATAGCTGGATATAGCTGGGCGTGATGATTTTAATAAGCAAAGACGTCTATGTCGTGGAAATCTTAGGCGTCTGTGGGCACAGGATCAAACCCTAATATTCTGAAATTTCCACCTGAGATACAGTGGAATTTCCTCCTCAATATTTGCAGAATTGTGTTAGCAAGCCCATGACAATGATGGAACCTTAACCACATTTCCAGAAGCCACTAAACCGGGTTAGTTTGAACCCAGTTAGCACCTTTTAGGGTTGTCTCGTCCTATGCAACTCACCAGGTTGCTCGATGGGTCAATGACCTGCATGCACTTATGAAGTTGTCGAATCAATTCAATCATGAAGAGAGCAAACCAGGACGTTACACAATTCCCGGACTCCATCAATAGGGCTTGTTACAAGTCCAACATTGCTTGCATTCAAGCCTTTTTTTTTTGAAAGGAGACGTTCAAGAAATGTCAGCTTGGGGGGGGGGAAAAATAAAAAGGCCTCATCAGGGATTTCCAGAGGATGACTAAGGAGAACGAGAGTCCGTCTTATCTTGCTGAAACACGCATGGAGGTTATCAACTCTACTTCTGCTGCTGTTGGCTTCTACCAGCCAGTTGTCCTTCACGTCTCATTCCAAAGAGAGACGCTACATAACAGGGAGGTAAGTCCTCAACTGGTTTTTTCTTTCACTTATACAGCAATTTTGCCCACCAGGTCGAATGAGTGGTTTACCTTGACCATTTGAGGAGATCATCAGAAGATCTTCAGCCTGTTAAAGGGAGAAGTATCTTCCCAACTCGGTGTGTCTTTCATTTAGGAGAGGGGGTCTTCAAACTTGACAGCTTTAAGACTTGTGGATTTCAACTCCCAGAATTCCTCCTCCACTCATTTTAGCTCGGGAATTCTGGGAGTTGAAGCCCACAAGTCTTAAAGCTGTCAAGTTTGAAGACCCTTGATTTAGGAGATGCCCAATACTTGAATGTTGCATCTTTGTAAGGCTTTGATCAAGCCATTAATGTACATTGCTCATATAGAACATAGAACATATAGTGTTAGAAGAGACCTTGGAGGTCTTCTAGTCCAACCCCCTGCTTGAGCAGGAGACCCTATACCAGTTCAGACAAGTAGCTGTTGAATCTCTTCTTAAAACCTTCCAGTGATGGGGCACCCACAACTTCTGAAAGCAAGCATTCCACTGGTTAATTGTTCTCATTGATAGGAAATTTATCCTTAGTTCTAGGTTGCTTCTCTCCTTGATTAGTTTCCATCCGTTGCTTCTTGTCCTGCCTTCTGGGGTTTTGCAGAATAGGTTGACCCCCTCTTCTTTGTGGCAACCCCTTAAATATTGGAAGACTGCTATCATGTCTCCCCTGGCCCTTCTCTTTGTTGGGTTGTGTTTGTTAAACTTTGCTAGACTATCATTGACCAGCTGTAAACCAATTGTCTAATGTAAATCGATTCAAATAGTCTTGAGGAAGAAGTTGCAAGGGAAGGCGTTTTCCCAAAAATAGGATGCCAGAGTTTAGTTCAAAATTAAATTTTATGTTTTACAAGAATTGTATTATTATTAGAGAATAGTACTATTAAGTCTAGATTTAATTAAGATCCATTTTCTGTGGTGGCCTCCAGTGATGGAGCAACCACAACTTCTGAAGGCAAGCCCTTGTAGCGTTTTGGATGAAAGTAAATGCAGGGTGTGCGCGGAGGCTTGGGGAAGGGCAAAAAACGTGCCTTCTAGAAGTTCAGGAAGGCCAGAAAGGGGCCCGTTTCCGGCTTCCAGAGAGCCTCCGGAGCCTGGGGAGGCTGCTTTCGCCCTCCTGGGGGCTCGAGGAAAGCCTCAGGAGTCCGGGGAGGGTGAAAACACCCCCCCGGCTGCCGTGGTGCAGGAGGTCAACTAGACCCACCATGGCCACACCCACTCAGCAATCAGGCGGAGAACCCTTTGCTAAAATTTTTGAAGCCCACCCCTGATTTCTAGCTGACGATTTCTGTAATTTTCAGGGTAGGAAAGAAGACTCCTCTGCGGTGTTCTCATCCTCCGCTCTCTCGTTGAATGATTCCCGGGTCTTTTCAGAGTAGAAGATGAGTCTCATCCGCTTCTTCTTCATCTTTGTCTTGCTCCCTCTCGTCACCCCCGAGTGTCCTGCCCCTTGCCGCTGTGCCGCCAACGTCGTCGACTGCATATCAACCGAACTCACGGATGATGGGATCCCCCTCTCCTTCTCCTCCTCAACCAGCAAGCTCTTTCTCAACAACAACTACCTGACCTTCATTCCCAAAGGCCTCTTCGACAACCTGCCCAACCTCCAGGCGGTTTACCTGCGGGGGAACCCTTGGGAGTGTACCTGCAACATTCTCTACCTCCGCTCCTGGCTGCAGTGGCAAGAAAACCGGACTCTGTATCGCGACGTGGTGTGCTCGGCCCCTGCCCACCTTCAAGGTCGGATTATCACCTACCTATCCGAAGAGGAGATCATCTCCAGCTGCCAGTCCTGGTATTGCGGTGTGGCTCTGGTGGCCCAGATCTGCCTCTTCGTCTTCATCTTGGTGCAGGCCATCTTGCTGCTTCTGGTGGTCTTCTACATCTGCAGGTTCCAGCAGATAGCCATGGAAGCCAGGAGGACAATGGCGGAGCTTTATGAGAACACGGGCCTGTGGGAAAGCGCTCGTAAGGACAGTATTGACTGATGGACCGTGGCAGGGGTGGGCTTGCAAAAGTTTTAGCAAAGGGTTCTCTGTCCGGTTGCTGGGTGGGCGTGGCTTACTTGGCCACCATGGTGGTATGTTTTTGTCCTCGCTGGACTCCAGAGGTTCTCTGGAAGCCAGAAACGGGCCCATTTCCAGCCTTCGCGAACTCCCAGGAAGCCTGTTTTTTGCTCTCCTCAAGTCTCTGTGTGCCCCCTGCCCTTACCTGCATCCAACGCGGGCCATGTGGGGACTCTTAGGAGGGGAGGGGTGGGCGGGGCCACCCAGGAGTGGGATTTGGGGGTTCTCCAAACTGTGCAGAATCTTAGCTAGGGGCTGTCCCGTGAACCCCCAGCAGCCCACCCCTGGTCCGTGGAGATTCTCAATCACCCATGTCATGGTTGTCCCAAAGGTGTCTTTTCAAAGGCAACTGGCCTACTTTCGTTTTTGGTTTCCCCTTGTGAGGACCTTTTGCTTCTCATCCAAGACATTTCTTCAGTTCCAAGGAGGTTCTTCATCCCCTGAAGAAGCTTCTCGGACGAGAAGCGAAATGTCTTCAAGGGAACAAACTAAGAAAGTCCAATTGCCTTTTGAAAAAAAAAAAAACACCACCTTTGGGGGACAGCATTGATTGATCACCAATCGATAGGTGAATATTGATTGGTATAGCTTCTCCCCCCCACCCACCCAAATGCCTTATTTCTTGGAGAACCTCAGAAGCTCTAGGCAGAATTTGGAAGGTGCTGGCTAGTTTTTTGGTTTTTTTAAAGAAGAAACTTCTGTGCAGAACATTCGGGATGGATAAACATAATTGCGGAACGACAAAATGGAAAAAGCTGCCATTTGCTGGACCCTCATTTGGTACTTAAACTCTGTACAGTCTTCCTATAATTGGAAAAAAAATGGTTTGGGGCTCATATGATTGGACCCCCCTCACGCCAAAGGTTGTCCGATGCCCCCTAAATTATTTATAGGTAGTCCTTGACTTACAACCATTATATTTAGTGGCCATTCAAAGTTACAATGACACTGAAGAAAGTAATTTATAACTGGTCCTCGCAGTTACACCTTCAGCCTTCCCGTGATCATGTAATCAAACCATTAGGGCGTTTGGCAAGTGGCCTGTATTTATGACAGTTGCAGCATCCCAAGGGTCCAAATTTGGGACTTTCTCAGCCATCTTCTGGCCAACAAAGTCAATGGGAGAAGCCCCGTTCTCTTACTGACTGAGTGATTTACTTAATAACTGTCTTGCTTAACAGCAGACATCCTGGTCCCAATTGTAAGTCAAGGGCTGCCTGTGTAATCCTTCCGTGTTGTTGTTCTTTAACTCTGTTAACTGCCATGTGATAACTTATTGTTTTCTTTATTTCCAACATATTAATACGGTCCTTCTTCTTCCCCTCTAATCTGGATTCGTTTTGGTTGATTAAAACCTCAATTTTAACCTCATATGATTGAAATGCGGTTATTAAACCTCTTTAAAAACTTCACAGGTGGTTTTTAAGGGGAAATTGGGGCAACCATTTCTCTGAAATGGTACAGCGTCTCCTGCTTGAGGAGGGGGCTGGACTAGAAGATCTCCGAGGTCCCTTTCAACTCTGTTAATTAGGCAGAGCAGAGAAAGATTATTTGAGCTTCTTTTCAAAAACCTATGGTCCCGTCAAGCTCTTTTTTCTTTCAAACAATGCAGTGAAATTTGTGTTGCTTAAAATCTCTCTCTCTCTCTCTCTCTCTCTCTCTCTCTGCCTCTTTTTCAATGTATACCAATTTGACTTT